CCGTTTTATAATGGGGTTGTTTATTTTTTTATTTTCAGCATGTTTGAGTTCCTTGTAGATCCAAGATGTTAAGCCTTTGTCAGACCTGGAGTTGGCAAATACTTTTTCCCGGACTGTAGGATGTCTCCCTGCTCTCTTGATGGTTTCTTTGGCTTTGCAGAAGCTTGTCAGTTTAATGAGGTCCCACTTGTCTATTTTCTCTCTTATGGCCTGTGGGTTTTGGGTTTTGTTCAGGAATTGGATGCCAGTTCCGATTTCCATGAGGGTATGTCCTTCATTTTCTAAGGTTCTTATGGTTTGAGGTTTTACATTTAGGTCTCTGATCCATTTAGAGTTAATTTTTGTGTATGGGGCTGGATAGGAGTCCTCTTTCAATCCTTCTGTATGTGGTCAGCCAGTTTTCCCAGCACCATTTACTGAATAGGTTCTCCTCTCCCCATTGGTAGGTGGTGGAGGCTTTGTCGAAGATGAGTTGATTGAGAAATTGAGGTTTTGCTTCTGGAATCTCAATTCTATTCCATTGGTCTATATACCTGTTCCTATACCAATACCAAGCTGTTTTGATGATTGTAGCTATATAGTAAAGTTTGAAATCTGGTATTGTGATACCACCTGCTTTGTTTTTTTTGCTGAGGATTGTTCTGGCTATTCTTGGATCTTTTGTGTTTCCATATGAATTCCTGTGTTGTTTTTTCTAGGTCTGAGAAGAATGTTGTTGGTAATTTAATGGGTATTGCATTGAATTTGTAGATTGCCTTAGGTAAGATGCCTGAAGAACACAAATCACTCTATAAAAAAGATACCTGCACACGTATGTTTATCGCAGCATTGTTCACAATAGCAAGAACCTGGAAACAACCATGCTGCCCATCAAAAGAGGACTGGATTAAAAAAATGTGGTACATATACACGATGGAATACTACGCAGCTATAAAAAAGAACAAAATCATGAATTTCGCTGCAACCTGGATGGAACTAGAGTCTATAATACTGAGTGACCTCTCACAAAAACAAAAATCCGAATATCACATGTTCCCACTCATATAATGGACCTTGAACATCCAATGCAATACTATGAGAAAATGACGGATGGTACTGGGAAACTATGGGGGGGAGGGGGATGGGATTTT